CACAGTAGAACTGAATGTATTTATCTTTTGACATCAATAAATTTATGTGCTGTGAAAAAGAAAAGCTGTTGGGGAAATTATTGACATTCCATGTTTTTGTTTGTAAGCAGAGGTTAAAGGCACACTGCTGACTTTTTGACCTAAAGAGTTGCTAGAAATTAGTTATTTAAAATGATTCCTCAGTTCAATATACAGCACTTGACACCATCAATGCTATGAGCCTCTTGAAACGCTGACTATGTAAGTTAGGAGAAGACGCATCGATTTTGGCCAGGTCATGTGACCTGGACGAACGTATCGCTTTACGGCCACAGGCTCTTATATTGTCATGGAGCTAAGGCTTTTCCTCTACTATTTTCACTCCTTTTCGACTACTGGTCATGTTTGAGGAAAGGAAAAAGTTTAAACCTTCTGAGGAGGCTAGAAAGAGAAAATGTGAAAGGGATTGTGTACGAGGCAAAACAAGAGTCAATTCTGGAAAGGATTTTGTTTGTTGGCATGGGCTGAAAGATTCTCTTTTCTCAAATTTATTATTAGACTGTTAAGTTAACACTTTGCTCCTAGTTGTAGTCACATATCTTTGTTATTACCGTATTTTCAATGTTTAGTAGAAGCAAAATACGGGCAGTTGCTGATCTAGTGCCCCTAGTGGCCAAAAGGTATGCACAAGCTATTACATGGTATGCCTTTTAAGTCGTGGGGAAGTGGCTGTTCCAATTGTTGCATTTCCGAATTCTACCGAGTGGTGCACGACTTTACACGAGTGAATAAAGTGAATTTTATTGGTTGTTTATCAAGAGGGTGTGATTGTTGTGGCGGAAGGTTCGCAAGCAAGTTAGGGTTAGATTGTAGCCGGTCTCTCAGAAGTATCTTGCCAGCAACTTAGTGCTAGAAGGTTCCAAATAGGAAATTACATTGAGACCGTAGAGACAGTAGCACTAAATTGGTGACTTAGAAACGACACTGTCAAGGAACGCTATGGACAGCGGAAAACTGCAGGAGGAGGAGAGTTTTGTGTCTGAGGTCGTGGATGAGTCTCCTCCGTCATACATATTTTATTTAGAGGAGGAAAGTGGGGACGAAGTTGTGGAAGAGGACACCAGGGCAGCAGAAGCTTGGTTTGGTGTAGAAGGCTTACAGCCGTACATGTTTGAGCCCTTGCCTCACAACTCTGCCAGTTCTGTTAGCTCTACGCCTGCCGAAGACACAGACGTCCATCCCCGTGAACACTGAGACGTACTGTAACTCAATGGTAAAGTAAATTATTCTTATTTCAACCATTGCGTATATTAGCTGCGACATATGAATCAAGATGCTATGACCAAAAAAATTTGATTGACAGAGGTCCGTTGATATATTATTGGCCGAATTTAGGTGTACAAGCTGACGTATAACTAACAGGCCTGCATAAAATAACAAAGAAAACCCCACAGATTTTAAGAGAGGATTTTTTTTTTTTTTTTTATAGAAATTTTCTAAATTTTGGGACAATATCGTGTGATAAAGAGTAGATTTATATACACTATATTGCCAAAAGTATTTGCTCACCCATCCAAATTATTGGAATCAGGTGTTCCAATCACTTCCATGGCCACAGGTGTATAAATTCAAGCACCTAGGCATGCAGACTGTTTTTACAAACATTTGTGAAAGAATGGGTCGCTCTCAGGAGCTCAGTGAATTCAAGCGTGGAACTGTGATAGGATGCCACCTGTGCAACAAATCCAGTCGTGAAATTTCCTCGCTCCTAAATATTCCACAGTCAACTGTCAGCTGTATTATAAGAAAATGGAAGTGTTTGGGAACGACAGCAACTCAGCCACGAAGTGGTAGGCCACGTAAACTGACGGAGCGGGGTCAGCGGATGCTGACGCGCATAGTGCGAAGAGGTCGCCAACTTTCTGCAGAGTCAATCACTACAGACCTCCAAACTTCATGTAGCTCAAGAACAGTGCGCAGAGAGCTTCATGGAATGGGTTTCCATGGGCGAGCAGCTGCATCCAAGCCATACATCACCAAGTGCAATGCAAAGCGTCGGATGCGGTGGTGTAAAGCACGCCGCCACTGGACTCTAGAGCAGTGGAGACGCGTTCTCTGGAGTGACGAATCGCGCTTCTCCATCTGGCAATCTGATGGACGGGTCTGGGTTTGGCGGTTGCCAGGAGAACGGTACTTGTCTGACTGCATTGTGCCAAGTGTAAAGTTTGGTGGAGGGGGGATTATGGTGTGGGGTTGTTTTTCAGGAGCTGGGCTTGGCCCCTTAGTTCCAGTGAAAGGAACTCTGAATGCTTCAGCATACCAAGACATTTTGGACAATTCCATGCTCCCAACTTTGTGGGAACAGTTTGGAGCTGGCCCCTTCCTCTTCCAACATGACTGTGCACCAGTGCACAAAGCAAGGTCCATAAAGACATGGATGACAGAGTCTGGTGTGGATGAACTTGACTGGCCTGCACAGAGTCCTGACCTCAACCCGATAGAACACCTTTGGGATGAATTAGAGCGGAGACTGAGAGCCAGGCCTTCTCGTCCAACATCAGTGTGCGACCTCACAAATGCGCTTCTGGAAGAATGGTCAAAAATTCCCATAAACACACTCCTAAACCTTGTGGACAGCCTTCCCAGAAGAGTTGAAGCTGTTCTAGCTGCAAAGGGTGGACCGACGTCATATTGAACCCTATGGATTAGGAACGGGATGTCACTTAAGCTCATATGTGAGTCAAGGCAGGTGAGCAAATACTTTTGGCAATATAGTGTACATGTTTAAGCCAGAATGATTTGACATTTAAACATGATTTCCCCTCGACTTTAAGGGTATGGAGCATCACAAATGATTATATTATTGAAATATGTCATTTCATTGCACACAGTTAATTCTTGTTAATAGGCTTCTTATGGCTTATATAAGAATGCTAAATTGACAGTTTCTAGTGAATGGTCAATGCCAGTGTCACGTCTTGGTAGAGGTTTGGAGGACCCAAATGCAGAGGCAGAGAGGCTGAGGTGAATACTTGTGGATTTAATGCATAAATTGTTTAACAAAGGCAGTCCAAAAATCCAACTAAAATGTAACAGACCAGAACCACGGAACATCAAGGGAAACATGCTCAAGGAGCCAGGGAGAGACGAGGTAAGAGGACAACGGCGACGGCAGGACCAGCAACAACAGAGGAACCAACGAAGAGTGAGAGCAGAGGGAGAGCATATATAACTGACATAGACAAAGGGAGGGCTAACGAGCTGACAAGGAACAGGTGTGAGAGGAGACAACGAGGGAGCCAAGGGGAAAGGAACAAACACACACACAGGGCTACAGAGGACAACAGAAAAACATGAGAACTAACAAATCTAGAAAATACAACAAAAGGAATTAAACCAATAAACTAGGAAACATAGAGCAAAGTAAAACACAATATAACCAAAACCATGGCAGCCAGTCTTTATAAGGAGAGAAAACTCTAAAAAGTCATTTTAAGAAGCTGTCTGTTTGGATTGCTGCATATGATCATATACGTTTAAGTTGTGAAGTAAGAGGGGAAAAAGTGATAAAGGTGCAAAGTGTTGAAGGTAAGCCCATAAAAAAGTTTTACTACTTTAGTTTATTATACTAGAATATGATGCCTTGGAAGAGGACATTGGAAGTAAAGTAGCTATGTATTCAAACATTAATTTGGACTGGACAAACAAATGTGCAGAGCTGCGATAATATACAATACTTTTTTGTAAAAAGAAGTACACCCTCTGCCTAAATTATCATACACTAAGATTATAATATTCAAGTTTAATGTATACAGCTTCAGATTCAAAACAAGTATTGTATTACCATTTTCCCCAAATTAAGCCACATTGGTACAAAAGCAACTACCACTGTAGACCTATTGGTTTAGTACATTTTATTAGTTAAAGGTATAGAGGAGAATGTTCTTTTTTGGGTGGATCATCAAAGTAAGTGGTCCTCCTAATTGTCAACCATTCTGGTGACACGTTTACGTAAGGCCGTCCTTCGTGCTCATCCCCATTTTCACTTAACAGTGGTGAGTCTGACATAGTGGAAAAATTGCAAATCTTCTTTTGGAAAGTAAGCTTGTATGAGCGATGCAGACAGCAACTTTTAAACAGAGCGTGCACAAGGAAAAATGGGCTTGTGCACGCTTCTCGCACGCATTTAATAGGAGTTCTCTTTCGGGAGCGGGTAAAGGATTGTGAATGGTCCTAGCCAGGAGGTGGCTAGGCTAGCACATGCAATTGGATTTCACATTGCTGTAAATAATAAATTCTAAAATCAAAGGACCAACATTAGAAGGAAAAATCAGGGATGTAATTCTTTCCAGTAGGTCAGCTACTAGCCACACTTGGTTACTTTTTTTGCTCATCATAATTTGATCATTTTCAAGCGGTCATACTTTTCCACAATACCTGACAGATGGCATATAGGTTTTCTTTCCATATTATATGCTGTTGACCTTTTCTATACATTAATGCTGTCTGGTTATTACTAGCTGTCTGTTATGTAAATATTACTGTGCCTAATATTTACATCCCAGAAAGAACATTAAATGTACTGTGTATACTGTCACCATAACAACCAGTAATTATTTAATTCTTTAGAAACACATAGGAGAAAATCATTTATCTAGATGATTTAGTCGAGTCAGTCTTTGTACACCTGTAAATTCCAGGGTTTCTTTGTTCTGTGATGTAGTTTTCTTCAACGCTCTTGCCTTAACTTTATTATGGTTTCATCAATAATTGAAATCTGCATTGTGTAAGCTGTATTTAAATAGTTTAAGAAACTGTTAAGAGCAGGTCATCCATTTGTTAAAATCTTTAAATTGACAGGGGAATAGCTAATTTTACCTCATCAATAAATTGTTGCATTGGTATAAAAATGTTAATTCATACTTGTTTAAAAAATAGATGCCAAAACTGAATTTCCAAACTGCTAGTTGCACAGATTGGCAAGATAACAAGAGTAACATGAAAAAAACAAAAACCTCTAATTTTTTTTTTTTTTTTCAAATGTGTTATGGGGATGGTAATCCAAACTTGATTGCTGTACTCATGATATATGCCGATCTGATCGTCTGATTGGTTCGAGGAAAGGTCAGCACCAGATCCGACATGTGTTATCCTTGCTGCCTGCAGAGAAGCACAGATATAAACAGATGGTTGCAATGAAGAACTCAGCTAGGTGTTTGTTTTTTTTTTATCTAATGTTTGCAATGAATCTCTGATAATGAACAGCATCGAAGATTTTATTCACCGCTAAAGGATTTCAGGTTTGTCTTGGTCAACATGAGGTAGAGAGATGTTTTGTGTGTCTTTGGTTACCTGTAATGATAGTGTCTCCCTCGTAGTTGAAGGCACAGGAGAAGATCTCGTCAGTGTGGCCCTCTAGGACTTGAAGGCACTCTCCGGACTGAACGTCCCACAGACGGGCTGTCTTGTCAAAGCTTGCTGTGAGGACCCTGCTTCCCTGAGGGCTGAAGCAGATCTACAAGGAGAGGTTAGCGTCACTCAGAGGTTTGTGTCTGCAGCATCAACATCAATGAGTTAATCTGGGGCACCACTCATAATAATTCTAGCAAAGGGATTATGATTCATCAAATCATCTCATATGGCACCTGAGGGGTAAATAAATAGATAATTAAATAATTGGGATCTAATAGGCTATTTAGGTAAAGTGCATGTGGAATAAAAACTCCAAACTGACCCCAAAGGACAGATAGGGACTGAGAACTAAAAATTTAAGACTGGATGGATGAGAGTTATGTTCTCAGGCTCATACATTTGTCTTTAAAATGAGGCTCATTTTGTTTCTTTTTTGCAGAAAAAAAAACATGATACTGTTTTGTGTTCTTTTTGTATAAGAAAAAATAAAATACATGAATGTATAAATGATAAGAATAAAGCTTATTGTGTATAAAGGCATTTTGTGTATAATTTGCTTTGCTGTAGCTTCAGGATCAATAAACATGAAGCCCTGTATCATTGATATGTGTCTCTTTAGGATGCACTTTGGTCTAAGCTGGATCATAGGACGAAAGCTAATGGGTTGTCCAAGATGGAGAGGATTCCCTAGTTAAACAGCTACAATCAAATCCCACAGAAGCTGCTGCATATTCTGCAGTTCAAGCTCATATTTTGGTGATTAGCAGCAGTTCCAATTCATTACAAGGCTATCATTACCCATTTAAATGAAAAATAGTCAAGGGTTGCAAGGTAAATTAGAGCATTAAGAGACTAAAATATATTAAGGGCGAGATGTTTGAGTAGAGTGAAAAACGGTTAATGCGCATGTTGGGGAGGGGGAGATGGGTCCTGCAAAAACAGATTAGTCTCATAATCCTCTGAAATTATCCTCCATGCTGCCTTTTTTTTTTTTTTTTTTTTTGCTGCTCGTCTGCGATGCAGTAAACACATGCAGAGGACCCATCTGAGTAGGACCCAGAAGAAAATGAGTTCATCAACAGCAAATGTAAAATATCACTCATCTTTAAGAACAGATTCAATGCAGAGCCAGAGGAATAACAAGTTGTACAAAAGCCTACGTTTGATGGAGTTCACAGAGCCGTGTCACTCCAGGTTTTCTTTTTTGCTTTATGCCAGGAATAACATTTCAAGGCACAGCGTAACAACTGGGCTTAAAGTTTTAAGACTGACAGTAAAAGGTCAGACTGACAATCAGACCTCCTGAAGCCTGGGCTACTGTCTCTCCACATAAGCATCACAATTTATCCCATTTACCAAGGTTACCAAGGAAACTTTCTAATTTGAAGATCTATTAAAATAAAATGGTTGAATAAATAACTAAATAAATAAAATCATCCAAACATTACTGCAGCTGGTAATGTCCTTTTGACTTTCCAGATAAGTTAAAATAACGTTTTTTTGTATCATTATTTTAATGGTTACCTAAGCACTGACTCAATTATGATCCTCTTGGAAATGATGAATAACCAAAAAAACCTTTGATGAGTCCTTATTTCCTTCTCTTTGATGAATTGCTTCCTGAAATAATAAATGGAAACAGCAAACATGGATAAGGTGTTTACACCGTTTACACTGTCCCCTGTGATAAAACACAGTGGTGCCATCATCATATTGTAGGAACGCTTATCTTAACCATGAACAAGAAAGTTGGTCTGTTGATGAGAAGATGAGTGGTAGTGAATACCTACAGGGTAATCCTGGAAGAAACTTTGTTGAAAGTAGCAAAAGCTGTGAGACATGGGTGATTGGTCAGCTATCAGCAGGACTAAGCACTAACTAAATTATGATATTTGATGAGTCCTTATCCCCAAACATAGAGCGGTGGCTGCAATGGAATGGTTCCACTCAAAGCATGTAAGTGTCAGGGGTGGTTGTGGTTGAGGACGCAGAGGCAGAGAGGCTGAGGTGATTTCTTGTGGATTTAATCAAAAAGTAAACAAAGGCAGGGATGCAAAAATCCAACTAATAAAGAAAAACAAACCAGAACTATGGAGACATCTGGGGAAACCAAACACTGGGAGCCAGGGAGAGATGAGGTAGGTGGACAACAGCATGGGAGGACAGCAAAGACAAGGAACCAACAAAGAGTGAGAGCAGAGGGAGAGCATATATAGCTGACAGAGACAAAGGGAGGGTTAACAAGCTGACAAGGAGCAGGTGTGAGAGGAGACCATGAGGGAGCCAAGGGGAAAGGAACATACACACAAAAGAGGGCAACAGGGGGCAACGGAAAAAGATGAGAACTATATAAATCTAGAAATTACAACAAAACTGGAATTAAATCAATAAATCTAGAAAACAAGAACAAAGTAAAGAACAACAGAACCAAGACCATGACAGTAAGAGCAGCAAAATCTTTATCCAAATGGGATTTTGCAGAAAAACTTGAATAAATTGGTTAAAAGGAGTTCCCCATCTGATCGGACTAAGTTCGGGCTATTTAAGGAATCAAAATGATGTAAAAATAAACGGTTTGTTGTGTGTAAAGCCGGTAGAGAGAAACGCCCAAAAACATTTGGATGTAACTACATCAAGCTGTGATTTTACTTAATATTTATTCAGCTGTCCTCTTAAAAAAATTGAAGAAGCACATTCTGTCTTTTTTAGTTCATTATTTTGTTGTTCTTGTTTTAACATGCTGTCATTTTGTCATCTGACTGCTTGAACTGAAATCTACAATCTGTGCCCCACTCAGACATTTTAGAATAAACATACTGTCATTTATTTTTAGATATTTTTTAAATAATCAGCAGAAAAAAAACAAAGCAAATGAAAACCTTATACTGCAACAAACTAAGAGGTGAAATCAATTGAATAAACACCAGCATACCTTGGAGATTTCCCCTGCATGGCCCTTCATTGTCACCAGACACTCATGTGTAGTTGCACTGAATACTTTTGCTGTACCTGACAAAGACAGTGACCACTTATTTCCTGGTTGACAAACATTTAATATTTTTACATGTATAACAAGGCTGGTTTTGAGGGAAATATAATCTCTTCAAAAATTCTAGTGTGCATGATATAGTTCAAAAGCTAAACAGCCATTCTACAGTCTCACCATCAGCAGAAGCTGTAGCAATAAGCTGACCGCTTAAATCAAAACTCGCATCCAACACCTCCTCCGTGTGTCCGACTAGGGTGGCCACACACTTCCCACTGACAACCTCCCACAACTACAGACACATGGACATCATTACAACATACTTAGCATTTCTATGGGCAATGACAGAAAAAAGAGAGAAGTAAAATTAAACATGAAGAAAGTCCAGCCATGCAAACCCTTGTTAAAAAAAACAACTAATAGGCCATTAAAATGAAAAGCCATTCATTTTTATTTAATATATTTACCAGCCCTATTTCTGAAAAAAGCTTTAAATACTTCAATATCATTATTATAAATGTTCTTTACGTATTAAAGATATTGTCATGATTTTGGTGTTGATGTTTGGCTTGATTGCTCATTTTATTTACCTATCTATTTCTGCCCTGTTTCCCATCACTGCTCATCTGATCCACCTGCTCCTGCTACTATTTAAACTCCTTGGTACCAGCCATCAGTGCCAGATTATTCTTAAGCCTTTGGTGTTGAGAGTTCTCTAGCATTTAGTGTTCTGATGGTCTGATCCTGATCCGTTTCTGTATTTGGACCTTTGAGCCTGCCTGTCCCTGTCTGATCTGTTTGCCTGGCCAGTCTTTGGACTCCTGTTGGATTCTCCTGTCAGCTCTGCAGCCTTCTAGTCTTCCGCGTCTGGAAATCTCTGGCAGTGTCCGCAGCGTCTTGTCAGCCATCCGGCTGTAATCATCCTCGTCCTCTGGGCACGGACTGAACTGTCAAACCAGACTTTCCTGTTATAGACACCCTAGCCGCTGCTACCACAGACCAGCTCGTTTCAGTAAATGCTTTAAGTTTTTCCACTGCCTCTCTTGCCTGAATTCTGGGTCCCAATTTCTGAGTTCTTACAGATATTCCAAAGCCAAAGCAAGAATTATGTCAACTTTTTCTATTTTTCTTTTTTATTCTGTCATGCAACAACAGGTGCATATAAACAGGCTGCTGTTAACTATTTACACTGGTTTTATTTTCTTATTCATGTTAAATTCAATGTATTCAACTGGGTTTCAATAAGGATTTTGACTTCTGTATCTCTGCTTCTGTCTCCTTGAACACCAGTTGGTTCTGCTGGAGGTTTCTTCCTGTTAAAAGGGAGTTTTTCCTCTCCACTGTCGCTACAAGAATTCTTGGTGTGAGGGATTGCCGTCAAGTCAACGGGTAGATGCAATCAACTGCTTTTCCTTAGATGAAAACTTTGAATAAATTTGACTGTTTGATCTGGTTGAATTGTAAAGGGCCTTGAGATGGCATGTGTTGCGAATTGGCGCTATATAAATAAAGTGAATTGAATTGAATTTAATGATTTCTCAATTAAATGCTGCAACTTTGAAACTTCAATAAATACCGGAAGGGCCTCTAGAAATAGTTTGATATGTAAAAAGTATCTGGTATCATTTTATTCTGGCTTCAAAAATCTGCTGAAAAGCAAAATTGTTCCTCTACTTACCTTACAGGTTTTGTCACTCGAACCAGAGACTATGAGTGAGCAATCCCAGTTAAACTGAACATTACTTATTTCTCCCATGTGACCTGTCAGAGTGTGAACACGCCTACGACAAAGAAAATCAAAAGAAAAATCAGGAAAAACATCAGGGTTCATTGTTCCAGAACATGTCCACAAGTGATGACTCATTAAAGCTGGATGCCTACACAGCAACAACAATAAAGGCTGACCTTTTGGATGCAACATCCCATATAGCAACTGTGTAGTCAAAGGAGCCAGTGACAAGATGATTGCCGACGGTGTTGAAGCACAAAGAGAGGACCTCGGCTGTGTGGCCCTGGAAGGAAGAGAGGGAAAGAACATCTCTTCCCATTGATTTAATTCTTCTTTTCATTCTCCCAAATCACACTGTGACCACCAAAAGGGTTGGTTTATTAATATATTATTGTGAAGCTTTAGTTAAACCACCCAAAGTTTTTATAACTATTTAAAAACATGTGATCTGCTTACAATAAATGCAGGTTAAGGAATTAGTACAGAGCAAATAACTCACACTCAGTGTGGCCACCTCCTCCCCACTTTCCACATCCCATAGCTTTGCAGTGGCATCCATGCTGCCCGTGGCCACCAGCGTGCTCTGAGGGTTGAATGCCAGGCACACCTACACAACAAATTCTTTCTTTTACACTTTGGTGTTTTAATTTCTGTGACCAAACTTAAGACATGTATTTGCTCTTTAAATATTTTGCTATTTAAATATCTAAAGCAGAATGTAGAAGCAGCTGTTTGTTACGTTGTAATGATTTTTTAGCCCTACTGAAACTTAAAGGAATAGTACACCCAAAACATGATTAGCCTTCATTTTCTACTCACCCCCATGCTGAACAACACTCTGGAGTACTTTTTTGATATCTCAAATGCATCTGGAGATCTGGGAGGCTTCTTGCTGTCTGCTGACATTCAAATAATGGAGGTCTATGGTGCCCGAGGCAGAAAGGTCCATAAAAGTCCACAAAAAACGTGTCAATATTCCTCCATACTGCTCGTCCAATGTATTCCAAGTGTCCTGAGTGGGTAGCATCCAGAATTTACTCGAAACGAAGTCATTTAGAATGTTTTTAGAGCATAAACAGTAGTGTATAGGATTTCCTGAAAGCGCGCGCCTGCGAGTTCACGAGTCTACGGAAACCGCCGCAGACCAAACCAGATGAAAGTGCGCATTCAGCGTCTGCTCTTGATAATGCAAGCGTAGAAGAAGAAATTTGCTGTTTACCTGTGCAAAGAAAGAAACAACGAAAGAAAAATGTCTGAGGACTTCAGTGTTGAGGAAGAGCATGAGCTCTTTGCCGAGCTGAATGCGCACTTTCATCTGGTTTGGTCTGCCGCGGTTTCCGTAGACTCGTGAACTCGCAGGCGCGCGCTTTTAGGAAATCCTATACACTACTTTTTATGCTCTAAAAACATTCTAAATGACTTCGCTTCGAGTAAATTATGGACGCTACCCACTCAGGACACTTGGAATACATTGGACGAGCAGTATGGAGGAATATTGACACGTTTTTTTGTGGACTTTTATGGACCTTTCTGCCTCGGGCACCATAGACCTCCATTATTTGAATGTCAGCAGTCAGTAAGAAGCCTCCCAGATCTCCAGATGCATTTGAGATATCAAAAAAGTACTCCACAGTGTTGTTCACCGTGGGGGTGAGTAGAAAATGAAGGCTAATCGTGTTTTGGGTGTACTATTCCTTTAAAACTGTCAGTTCAAATAAGGTCATGCTTTCTCAATACACCAAGCAGTTTATAGGGTCTGATGACTAATGCTCAAACAACTCTACGGGGCTCAAATATAAAGAATCCATCCTCCTTGACCATTTCTGTTATATAAGATGTCAATAAAAAGAAAACACAGAATGGGGGTTGCTACCTGACAACATTTGAAAACAGTATAAGTGTATAAATATTTTGTTGAGGCACCTAGTTAAGAAAAAGATGTTAAAAGAATTTTGAAGCCAACATTTTTGGCGAGCATGGATGATTTTCTCCTTGGCATCCCCAACTGTGGCTATTGTTTCTCTTTTTTGGACCAAATTTGATTCCATTTTCTTCCAAGTAAATAGCAATACTCTGCCAAAATTAGTAAAAAAAAATACAAATTTTACCGTGCTTCCTGATCAAACCCATTTAAAAACTGGCAGTAGGCTACTGAGCCAAGTTTAAAATACCTACTATTTCAGCCCTGTGTCCATGGAAAGTATGAAAGCATTTGCCAGTCTCTGCACACCACAGTTTGCAGGTCTTATCGAAAGAGCCTGTGGCAATCTTGTCTCTAGATTTAATGAAGGGGAAAGGCAGCGGGAGATGTAAGTTTTGTTTTGAATGTTCAACAGAGCATCAGAATTCTCATATGCGAGGAAACAGCTCGTTACCCATAGGGATTGTTGAATGCGATTGCGTAAACTACGTTTCTGTGACCCTCGAGTGTATGCAGCTCTCTGCCAGAGGCAGTGTCCCACACTCTGCATGTCCTGTCATAACTCCCAGTTATGAACCTACAGAATGAGATAGAGAAGAGTTACAACAACAATATGGTAGGAGAGGTTAGAGTTATTACTGGCACTGAATTGTAAAAAGATACATATGGTAGAGCCTTAATCTACAACATTATGACAAGAAATACAATAGCACAGTTTGAAATAGTTTTTATTATTATTATTGTTTTATTATTTTATCATCATTCTTGGCTTGGGACTTCAGCTCTTTTAAAGGATTTCCAAAGGGTCTGTTGGACAGACAAATGGTTGCCCGACTCTCTTAATAGTCCCTTCTGATGTATGTGGTACCTTCAAATTTGCAGCTTCATGCTGCCACATAAAGTCCACTAGGGCTGCAACTAACGATTATTTTGCAAATGTATTAATCTGTCAATTATTTTTTTAATTAATAGATTAATAATCGGATAGCAAAAGGTTCCTTAAAGAAGACTTTTTAAAAATAAACCAGGAGAAACTAAAACTTTTCCACCTGAGGAGTTCTGGATAGAGCATATTGAGAGACAAAAAAGATTTTTATCTTAAATGCAAAATGTTTACTTTTTTTTATTTTGGTATAATTGCTGCTCAAAGTGGGCTGCTCTGTCAGCTAAAGGTACGTTGTAGAGTCTCTAAACTCCGGTCAACGATTAATTGATTACTAAATTAATTGACGATTATTTCAATAATTGATTAATCACAATTAATCGGATTGTTTCAGCCCCTCTGTCCACCATTACATTGATATTTCAGGCTAAACCCTCCCAAGAGTAAAAAACAGCTGCTAAATTATCATTTTTTTTGCTTTTTTCAGACATTTCTAAATTATTTTTTGGTGATTTAGGTGTCATTAGTTAACAGGTTAAGAAATGACTGAGATTATTGTCAGGTATGAACAAGAAATACATTCAGCCTCCTACGTTAAGCATCACATTTTGTAAATAGGGTTGTATCAAACGTAGCCATTACAGCTAACTGCAGCAGTATTTCTCACCTTGCTCCAGATTTGTCAAAGGCAACATTCGTTAGAGGCAGAATGTGGGCCTTCAGCTCCTGCAAGATTAATAGATACGATTAAATGATAGAAGTAAACATTTCAAGGCCAAATTAATTCAACAGTGGAATGAGCAAACCTCTGTCTCCTGAGCAATAAGTGATGAAATGTATGTAATGTTTGTGAGAGAATAATCAATAGGCTGCCTTAATGCACACGGATTAAAGTGCATAATAACTAGTAACATGTAGTCAGTTGCGTTTACTTTTGTGACTTTTTTAGTACTTTTAGAAGAAGTTTTACTGAATTATACTTTATGTACTTGAGTAAAAATATGATGAAGTATCTCTATTCTTACTTACATAAAATGTCTGGCTACTCTACCCATCATGTCACACAGAGAAAAAGCAGGTTTTAAACATAAAGGCTCCAGAGAGACTTGTTTAGGTAAAATTTCTTTGCTGTTTTCTAGCTTTTTTTTTTAAACGTATTTTATTTTCTATCTGCTGATGTTGCTGTCATTTGGAAATGAAGTAAAAACAGGACATGGTTTACTCTAACTTGTTTCTGTAGGTAACTTACCCTATTAAGTTACCCTATACTGGTTTAATAACCAACATATATATGAAAAAAATAAATTTTGAAAAGCGTTTCTTACAGCCAAAATGTTATTGCGTAATGCTTTGTTTCTTGTATCTCTTTCTTTTAAACACAAGAGTATGCATATACATTTATATATGGTGTTACTTTACATTATTTTTACATTTCATATTTACATTTTACATTTCTAAAACCAGATGCTGTGATCATTAGTAATAGGTAGGTCAGTGGACTTTTTATTAATTACATTTTACACTTACTTACACAAGAATTTCTTGGATTGCTCCTTTTCACTTTTACTTGGATAAAAATAAGATAGTGCTAGTCTTATAGTGGGTTCAAATTTTGGGTACTATGCCTGCCTTTAGACATCAAATATCTGAACTCAAAGCTTCAGTAAGCTTCACTACTGCTCTCTAGTGGCCATTTGGAGGTATGTCCAGAATAATATAATGTTAAAGCTCATTTTTTTCACAGATATTCAGAATTCTGTCACAACTGAATATATATATATATATATATATATATATATATATATATATATATACACACATATGTGTGTGTGTGTGTGTGTGTATACATATGTGTGTGTATATCTATATATAAATATATATATACGGATGCAACATCATATATACATTTTATATGTATGTTATGTGTATATGTTATATACATATATATGTATGTATCTATATATATATATATATATATATATATATATATATATATATATATATATATATATATATATATATATATATATATAAAATATTACATAGTACAAGTGTTTGTATATAAATATATATGTGTGTGTGTGGTATATATACTATACATGTACATACATGTATATTATATACACACATATATAAATTTATATAATTAAAATATGTATGTTTTATATACACTATATTGCCAAAAGTATTTGCTCACCTGCCTTGACTCACATATGAGCTTAAGTGACATCCCGTTCCTAATCCATAGGGTTCAATATGACGTCGGTCCACCCTTTGCAGCTAGAACAGCTTCAACTCTTCTGGGAAGGCTGTCCACAAGGTTTAGGAGTGTGTTTATGGGAATTTTTGACCATTCTTCCAGAAGCGCATTTGTGAGGTCGCACACTGATGTTGGACGAGAAGGCCTGGCTCTCAGTCTCCGCTCTAATTCATCCCAAAGGTGTTCTATCGGGTTGAGGTCAGGACTCTGTGCAGGCCAGTCAAGTTCATCCACACCAGACTCTGTCATCCATGTCTTTATGGACCTTGCTTTGTGCACTGGTGCACAGTCATGTTGGAAGAGGAAGGGGTCAGCTCCAAACTGTTCCCACAAAGTTGGGAGCATGGAATTGTCCAAAATGTCTTGGTATGCTGAAGCATTCAGAGTTCCTTTCACTGGAACTAAGGGGCCAAGCCCAGCTCCTGAAAAACAACCTCACACCATAATCCCCCCTCCACCAAACTTTACACTTGGCACAATGCAGTCAGACAAGTACCGTTCTCCTGGCAACCGCCAAACCCAGACCCGTCCATCAGATTGCCAGATGGAGAAGCGCGATTCGTCACTCCAGAGAACGCGTCTCCACTGCTCTAGAGTCCAGTGGCGGCGTGCTTTACACCACCGCATCCGACGCTTTGCATTGCACTTGGTGATGTATGGCTTGGATGCAGCTGCTCGACCATGGAAACCCATTCCATGAAGCTCTCTGCGCACTGTTCTTGAGCTAATCTGAAGGCCACATGAAGTTTGGAGGTCTGTAGTGATTGACTCTGCAGAAAGTTGGCGACCTCTTCGCACTATGCGCGTCAGCATCCGCTGACCCCGCTCCGTCAGTTTACGTGGCCTACCACTTCGTGGCTGAGTTGCTGTCGTTCCCAAACACTTCCATTTTCTTATAATACAGCTGACAGTTGACTGTGGAATATTTAGGAGCGAGGAAATTTCACGACTGGATTTGTTGCACAGGTGGCATCCTATCACAGTTCCACGCTGGAATTCACTGAGCTCCTGAGAGCGACCCATTCTTTCACAAATGTTTGTAAAAACAGTCTGCATGCCTAGGTGCTTGAATTTATACACCTGTGGCCATGGAAGTGATTGGAACACCTGATTCCAATAATTTGGATGGGTGAGCAAATACTTTTGGCAATATAGTGTATATATATATATATATATATATATATATATATATATATATATATATCTTTTGTCTGAATTCAGCATGCATATTTATATATAACGTATATACATATATTATAAATGTATATTATAAATGTATATACATAAAGTATATATATAATATATATATATATATATATATATATATATATATATATATATATATATATATATATATATATATATATATATATATATATATATACACTCACACATACACACACACACACAATAAGTTTTCAAAATAAACTGATAAAAATCAGAATATTTTTCATAAAAATAAAACGAAATTTTGATTATTTGTCAAAGCAGCTTCAGTATTACTAATGATGGGAAAAATTGATCCTATTGATATTGATTTATTGTATTTTGTGAAAAGAACAGAGCAGACCTTGCAGAAGCAGAACCTGTGGCGTTCCTTTTGATTCCGTTTCTGTTGGAGTCGAACTACCAACTCCTTGACTTGCTCTGCCCGGGACTCTGTGATAAGAGGCTCTGATTGTTTGATTTCTGACACCACCTCATCCGGGTTTGTTCTATCAAGAGTGAACAATATTAACAAACATAATTTTTCTAGGGAAAAAAAAAACAACAACAACTAGCTAACTAATAAAAACAACGTATCAAACCCAGCACCGAATGACCAAACTCACGCACTCGGGTGTCAGATCAAGAAGATCGATCGATTTGGTCCTCAGATAGCCTGATTGCTCATATTCCAGGATTATACCTAGCCAAAAAAAAAAAAAAAAAAAAAAAAAAACAATCAATAACTAAAAATATATAATAAAAAAAAACACATTGGTTGTGTTTCGAACTTATACTAAACACAAATTTTTACCTAAACCCCAAGTGTTTGGTAGAAAACGGTAACAAAAAAAAAAAAACCCAGGAAAGCTCAACAGTTGAAAACATTTTTACACAGCACGCCAATGTTCATTTTTTATACTTATACTAAAAAAATGTTAAGCTCGAATAAAATACAAATGATCATTACCTGGTGGGTAATATCTGAGAAAAAATCGCTTAAGTTTCATCTCGGCCCCACAGACAACAAAAGGTTACCATGGCGACCACAACACATGCGCACAAGGAAGGGCAATAATGGAAGGACAATGAGAGGAACTTAATGCAAAAACAATTAGCAAAGTAAGACTGTGTTTATGTTGGTCCATATCATACATTTTTTAATCTTTTGCAAGTTGTGCTTTCTGTTTGAAATATTTTTCTACTACTTTCTGAATTTAAGGATCTGTAACAATTTTATCCAAGAGGGACTAGTGTTATATTGCATCGCCTTACGAAAGACCTAATATAAATTTAAAAATTCACATTTTTTAACATTATAGTTTTTTTTTACCTAGATTTTATTTAATAATTAATGTTCAGTCTGACTGTTTTCTAAAGAAGAATCTGAAAAAATGTCTTTCTCTAGGTGTGAATAGCTGGTAAAGACACATTGACACGTGCACCAAAATACTTTACAGCTGTGTGAAAACTCTCATCAGATTTTTACTCCTAAAGTAAAGTTACGTATCATATTGCATCAACTTCACAGTCAAGAATTAGTCCACTTTGTCAGGATCTCTTATATGATTCCAATAACTACTTTGCAGTTCATTAGAAATGTGCTGTAGAAGAACATTCTAGGTAGAATTGTGTTTGGAAGGTAGTGAACATATAGTCTTCCATACAATTAAGACTTGTACTTATTTACTTACAACTTGCCAAGTCTTGTGTTCCACTAACAGGTCAAAGTCTGCACATACACCCACTGCTGATTAGGGTTTGTGTTGCTCATAAAGATTGTGTGTATATTCCAACCACTGGGATCATCTGATTAGCTTCAAAAGAAATAGAAACACTTAAGGGATAGTGGACATCTGACAGGGTAACTCATCTTGAAAATATTTTTCAGACTCATCTGTGTGAAATTTTGCTGATATTATGAGCTGTTGGGCAAAGTTGAAGTCTTCTGGATGGGCTTATCCCACCACAGTACTGTCCATCTACGGCTTTCTTGCTAATTGTCGAGTAGCAGAGCCCTTCCTGACACCTTACCTCATTGGACCAAACAAGAACATATCTGAGGAGGTGGTATGTATTGCAAACACGTGTTGTACTGCATAGAATCCTGCACACCATTAGAAAATGTTACTTATCTGGATAATTACCCTAAGTTTTGTTGGACCCAGCATCCCTGTTTTTGTTGTTTTTCTCCTGCAGGTGACCAATTACCTGTTTCCTATCTGGACGTACTCCTACCTGGCATTTCTTTTCCCTGTGTTTCTCTTGACAGACTTTCTGAAATACAAGCCTGTTATTATAGTACAAGGACTTTTTCTCGTCAGCAACTACCTCTTGCTATCTTTTGCCCCTGGCCTGCCAGCAATGACCTTCCTTCAGGTCAGTAGGATGACAGCCTTGTAGCAGCTGTACTGCAGAATTAATGAGTTAATGTTATCTCCATAGCCTTCATTTCTGTTTAGAGAATTAAAGGTTTGTCACCAGACTAATTAAAATAGTACTTTAATGTAGGTACAGTATAATAACATGTTTATTGATTTAATAAACCAACAGAAAGTGCATCACTGTAAAGTGGAAAGTAAAGGATATTAGATTTTGTAAATGTTTTACAAACAAAAATATAAAAAAAAAGTGTGGCTTGCAATATTTTTCCTTAGTCAATAGTTTTTAAAATGATTTTTTTTTTCCTGGATGGAGATTATCTGAAAATATTTTAAAATCTTGCCATAGATTCCCAATTTGATTTAGAAATGAGCTCTGATGAGGCCAATTTACCACCTAATTATTTATAGCTCTCCTTTTTTTCTTCCCTTTATATAAGTAAGTTTTAATTACAAGACTAGTAATCCTGTCAATAGATCCTTTCACCTTACCTGTGGATCTATTTATATCCTTCAGATTTACCAAGAAACTTTCTAATGTTTCTCTGAATTTATTTTAAAACCTAACACAGCATTAAAACTCTCCAAACCCTTTGCTGATTTTCTCCTTGGCCCTCATGATTCTTTTTGTCCACTAATCTTTTCTAACAAACCTTTGAGGCCTTTAAAGAACAGCCATGTTTGTAAAAAGGTTTCATTACAAATATTAGGACTTTATTGATTAACTATGTCATATCTAAAGCTACTTGGCTTTACAGGTGCAATAAAATGTAAGCCTTAACAAATATGCATTCAATACAATTAGGGTTTTTTTGTTGCTTTTTTATGGATCATATTCTGACAGTGCTTTGGTTCTGAGTAAGCATCTATCTGCAATATAAACTAAAGGTTTAATGCATTTGATTATTATTTATTACAAATACACATAACACACTGTGTTCTCTGCCTCTATTGTCGATGCGGCTGCCCGTAGCTGTGGCCGTAAGGTTTGCTGTGCCTGTCGTGGTGGCAATCCCTGAACCCGGTGGTGGACACCGATAGTAAGGGATGCCGTCAAGCTGAAGAAGGAGTCCTATCAAGCCTGGCTGGCTTGTGGGACTCCTGAAGCAGCAAGCAGGTACCGTGAGGCCCAGCGTGCCGCGGCCCGGGCGGTTGCAGAGGCAAAATCTCGGGCCTGGGAGGAGTTCGGAGAGGCCATGGAAAAAGACTATTGGTTGGCCTCAAAGCGATTCTGGCAAACCGTCCGGCGCCTCCGGAGGGGAAAGCAATGCTTCACTAACACTGTTTTTAGTGGGTGTGGGGAGCTGCTGACCTTGAAGGAGGATATTGTCGGGCGGTGGAAGGAATACTTTGAGGATCTCCTCAACCCGACAGACATGCCTTCCGTGGGGGAGGAAGAGACGAGGTGCTTGGGGCTGGGTTCGTCCATCACCCAGGCTGAAGTCACGGAGGTAGTCAAAAAACTCCACGGTGGCAAGGCTTCGGGGGTGGACGAGATCCGTCCTGAGTATCTCAGAGCTCTGGATGTTGTCGGGCTGTCATGGTTGACACGTCTCTTCAGCATCGCGTGGAGGTCAGGGACAGTTCCCCTGGATTGGCAGACTGGGGTGGTGGTTCCCCTCCACAAGAAGGGGGACCGGAGGGTGTGTTCCAACTATCGGGGAATCACACTTCTCAGCCTCCCCGGAAAGGCCTATGCCAGGGTGCTGGAGAGGAGAGTCCGGCTGATTGTCGAACCTCGGCTGCAGGAGGAGCAGTGTGGTTTTCGTCCTTGCCGTGGAACGGTGGACCAGCTCTACACCCTCTGCAGGGTGCTTGAGGGTTCATGGGAGTTTGCCCAACCAGTCCACATGTGTTTTGTGGACTTGGAGAAGGCATTCGACCGTGTCCCTCGTGCTGCCCTGTGGGGGGTGCTCCAGGAGTATGGAGTCGGGGGCCCTTTATTAGGGGCCATCCGTTCTCTGTACAAGCGGAGCAGGAGTCTGGTTCGCATTGCCGGCATTAAGACGGACCTGTTCCTGGTGCATGTTGGACTCCGACAGGGCTGCCCTCTGTCACCGGTCCTGTTCATAACTTTTATGGATAGGATTTCTAGGTGCAGCCAAGGACCGGAGGGGGTCTGGTTTGGGGAACAGCGGATCTCGTCCCTGCTTTTTGCAGATGACGTAGTTCTGCTGGCTCCCTCCTGCCAAGACCTACAGCGTGCGCTGGGGCGGTTCGCAGCCGAGTGTGAAGCGGCCGGGATGAGAATCAGCTCCTCCAAATCCGAGGCCATGGTTCTCGACCGGAAAAAGGTGGCATGTCCCCTTTGGGTTGGAGGGGAGTCCTTGCCTCAAGTGGAGGAGTTCAAGTATCTTGGGGTCCTGTTCACGAGTGAGGGAAGAATGGAGCGGGAGATCGATAGACGGATCGGTGCGGCTGCTGCAATAATGCGGACGCTGCACCGGTCTGTCGTGGTGAAGAGAGAGCTGAGTGAAAAGGCAAAGCTCTCAATTTACCGGTCGGTCTACGTTCCTACCCTCACCTATGGTCATGAAATTTGGATCATGACCGAAAGAACGAGATCCCGGATACAAGCGGCTGAAATGAGCTTTCTCCGCAGGGTGGCTGGGCTCTCCCTTAGAGATAGGGTGAGGAGCTCGGTCATTCGGAAGAGGCTCAGTGTAGAGCCGGTTCTCCTCCACATCGAGAGGAGTCAGTTGAGGTGGCTCGGACATCTTCTTCGGATGCCCCCTGGACGCCTCCCTCGGGAGGTGTTCCAGGCATGTCCCACCGGGAGGAGGCCCAGGGGACGACCCAGGACACGCTGGAGAGACTATGTCTCTCGGCTGGCCTGGGAGCGCCTAGGGCTTCCCCCAACAGAGCTGGAGGAGGTGTCTGCGGAGAGGGAAGTCTGGGAATCTCTGCTTAGTCTGCTGCCCCCGCGACCCGGTTCCGGATAAAGCGGGAGACGACGAGTACGAGTACAAATACACATTAAGAGAAACAGAAACATCTTTTATAGGACTCGTCTGTCTCCTTTACAGGTTAACTTTGGAGTGGTGACTTCCACAGAAGTGGCCTACTTCTCTTATATTTACAGCGTCATTCCTCTAAAGCATTATCAAAGGGCTACAAGTTACCTGCGCAGTGCCATGCTCACTGGATATACATTCGGTGCCAGTCTTGGCCAAATGCTTGTCTCCCTTGGAGGTATGAAGGTACTGATTTTAAAGGTACAGAAAAAAGCGAGTTTAAAGGTTGTGCAAATACTGATTAATATCCATTCTTAATTCACAGGAGTGGATTACTTCTACTTGAACGCTTTAACTCTGGGCATTGTATGCATAGCTTTTCTTGTCTCTTTCTTTTTGCCAATGCCCAAAAAGAGCATGTTCTTCAAAGGGGAAAAGACTGTGGACTCCCGGTCGCAAAATGAAGGGTCACTCAACAGACGAAGAGATTCACACAAGGAGGGAGAATCCTCGAATGAAGAGAAGATGGAGGTTACTGGCTGGTGCAGCAGAGAAAATGTAACCACAGCAGGTCGATTACTTTGGAAAAGCTTCAAAGAATCCTACTCTTCTAGGTGTGTTTCTCTTACACTGACTTCTATATGAGCAACACCCTTTTAAAGTTGTCATGTTTTGTTCCAAACAAATGTACAGTATTTCTTTGGGATAAA